GGCCAATGAATATAACGGAAAGACATACAGGTAAATCAACCGCCGTCAGTGCAAATGAACTCAGATGTTCGTGCTATAGCAGCCAGAGAGCGTGCAAGAGTAAAACAACCAAAACCGGTATCTCACAATCGTCTCTTTTTCTGCATATTATGTAATATAGAACATTCACGTACCATGTTACAGCAGCCAAAATCCATTCTTCGACAATCGACAAACACCAGACAGATCCAAATTAGCGAAGATGTGCAATCGCATATCATTGCATCTGACAATGAAGGACGTGCTCTAAGACCTGTCAGAAAGTAGATGAGATTCAAACAGATAAAAGATCCAACTGTTGCTTTTTACCGTTGTAATGAACTCGCAGCAATACCGAATGTTCAACTATTACGTTCAGTGCACGACCAGGGTTCATGAGCTACCAAAAATTAGTTCTCGTACATCATTTTTCAGACACCCGTCGGGTGAGATTATCGTCTTAAAGGCAGTACTTGGGGGACAATAAAGAACCAACTGCGACTAAGTTAATTCGCAAATTCAGGCGAATATCTCGTTCTGGTAAGCGAGAAAATCGCTTCGGACGTCTGGGCCAGCCTACCTCTTTTGCTCATCCCTTACATTCAGCGATTTCGTCCCCTGCCGCGCCCGTGTTCTGCTTCTCTCAGTGCTCTAACGAGAAAGGCAGACGATCTCTTTTTACGGGATTCACGATGTTGAAGTTGGTACGTGATCAGCACACCGAAATGCATAAAAAGGTGGAAAGCTAGTAGTCGCAAATTTGCCCGCAACCCAGGTTTACTGCATTTGCTCCACCCACTTTAAAGGCTCGATTGTTGCCAACATTAACCTGTAGATAATACATATGTAGCGACGTCTCCGCTCGCTCAGCAGGAGGAAACTGATTTTACAAATTTCAAGGATTGCAAAAACATCAACACTGAAAATCTATTGCGTCTCAATCAGCCTTATGAGATGGAGATATCATTGAAAACGTACTTTGGTCAAATTCACATTTTATTCTTCATAAAGGACCATCAAAAACAAAAGCATTTGAAAGTAAACTGAAGTAGAGCCCAACACAGCACACGCCTGACCGCCAGTTCATACCTGAAAACTGGAGTGTAATTCTGGCGCAATTTCTCTTATACTTTGTATTAATTATGTAGATGTTATGCTGTTGATGAAGTTTACGAGAACCATTAATTAGTGTGTAGGTTGCATACGTCATTCCAAGCTATGTTAAATATACATGATTCAATAAACTCCAACGCTAAATGTGTTATTATCCTTTACTGGTTACTGGAAGACCATGCGATTCCTTACAAACTCACAACGTTCTATGAGTATTATATTTCATCATAAGTCATTTGCAAAGGGAGTTTTCCAGCAAAAGA